CTTTTTTTTAATTTTTTTTCAACGTTTTTATTTATTTTTGGGACAGAGAGAGACAGAGCATGAACGAGGGAGGGGCAGAGAGAGAGGGAGACACAGAATCGGAAACAGGCTCCAGGCTCCAAGCCATCAGCCCAGAGCCTGACGCGGGGCTCGAACTCACGGACGGCGAGATCGTGACCTGGCTGAAGTCAGACGCTTAACCGACTGCGCCACCCAGGCGCCCCGAATGCTTTTGAGTCATTCCTGTTGCCCCATGAATCAGAAGTTCAGTTTTTTTTAATTGCACCCAAGCTGGAAACAACTCAAATGTCCATAAACAATAAAGTATAGAACAAATCATGGTATATTCAAACAATGTATTATAGAACATGAACCACTGATGCACAAATATCATGGGTAATCATTATGTTGAGTGAAAAGCTAAACACAAAAGAGTATATACTGTATGATTTCATTTACATAAATAGAACAGGCAACTTAAGTGATGGTGATATAAGTCACAACATGGTTACTATAGAACTGGGTATTAAACATGATAGGAAGTATAGGGAACTCTCTAAGGGTGATGGAAATGTTACATATCTTGATCGAGGTGTCAGTTACATGGGTGTATGTGACTATCTAAAGTCATCAAATTGTTCACTTTGTACATAATTTTCACATTGAAATCTTGTATTTCACTGTATGTAATTATTACTTTAAAAAAAACCAAATGAACTATAATGACATGAAATAATATGGATTAATTAATTAATTTAATTAATTAATTTTGAGAGTCAGAGTGCAAGCGGGGGAGGGTCAGACAGAGAGGAAGAAACAGAATCTGAAGCAGGCTTCAAGCTCTGAGCTGTCAGCCCAGAGCCCAACGTAGGGCCTGAATCCATGAACCGTGAGATCATGATCTGAGCTGAAGTCAGATTATTAACTGAATGAGCCACCCAGGAGCCCCTTTTTTATTTTAGAGAGAAAGAGAGAATGGAGAGGCGCAGAGGGAGAGAGAGAGAGAGAGAGAGAGAGAGAGAGAGAAAGAGAGAGAGAAAGAGAGTGAGAGAGCGAGAATGTCAAGCAGGTCCATGCCCCAACTCAGGACTCCATCCCACGGAACTGGGATCATGATTTGAGCCAAAATCAAGAGTCAGACACTCAACCGACTGAGCCACTCAGGCACCTCAATCTGGATGAATCTTAACAACATTAAATTTTAAAAGTTTCAAAATACTATATGCAGCATGACACCTTTTTATAGAGTTAAAAAAAGGAACACTTCTAGATATGTATAGATACCAAAAGATTAGAAAAGGAGAGAAATAGATGAGCATAGATTTGGGCCTATGGTTACCAGGTGGAGGGCACCCAGGTGGTGAATGTGGTCAGGTCCATAGATGTTTATAGTGCATACTTACAATAAGTATGCAGGAACAATAATAAACACAAAAACCCAAAAAGTGGCCCATGCTTCCACAAATGATGAGGTTTCCTGAACAAAGGATCATGATTAATTCAATTCTATGCTAGTGGAATCTAAAAAATGAAGATAAGATTCTGAGCTCTGTACTATTGCTTGATTTTTAGAATATCCTGCTCCTTGGGGACCAGAAGTAACGATGAAGATACCAGAATTTTCTAACTTCACATTAGATTTTTAAATCATAGACATAGATTTGTCTGGTATCATTAAACTGAGCCCATGGTGCCTTCAAAGTTCTGTTGGAAAACAGATATGCAATAGTCCCCAAGCACAGTTCAGCATTGCATACTGGGCAGATCGTAGACACGTGGGTGGGCAGGCACAGGTGGAGACGTCAGTCTCGGTCTCCACTGGGTCTTCTGGCCACAGACCCCTGGCCCTCTCCTCTGAACACCCGGCTGCCCAAACTCTCCTTTGGCTGCCTGTTCCAGGCATCTGCGTGTATTTTTTTTTTTTAATGTGAGATTCAAAATGGTAGATTTAAAAACTGGCATTTTGGGGGCACCTGGGTGGCTCAGTCGGTTAAGCGTCGACTTTGGCTCAGGTCATGATCTCACAGTCTGTGAGTTCGAGCCCTGCATGGGGCTCTGTGCTGACAGCTCAGAGCCTGGAGCCTGCTTCTGATTCTGTGTCTCCTTCTCTCTGCCCCTCCTCCACTCATGCTCTCTCTCTCTCTCTGTCAAAAATAAATAAACTTAAAAAAACTGATATTTTTATTAAGAAGGGTACAGCTTTTCACTTGTAGTTAGAAAAGAGCTAAAATTACTGTTTTTAAGTGTTGCTATTTATGATCTACAGCATACTTGTTTATTAGCATCATAAAACGAATGAGGGTTTAGATTAGTAAATGAATCATTAAAATGTTAACGGTAGGAATGCAGTTGTGTGACAGCTAGTCAGACAGGCCATGCAGCAGTTCTAGAGTTTTCCCTCCTAGTGAGAGGCGCTGGGAGATTCATTCTTGACCCCTTCCTCCTGCTTGAGTCACACCCTCGCCCCTTTCCCACAGCATCCCTGGGAAGGGTTCTGAGGAGTTCGCATTTGTACATTGCGGTCTTCATCCACTTCCTTGTTCCTTCCTTAGGCTCTGTGTTCATCTGTAAAATGTGTGGGTGAGGCATAAAGCCCTAATGTCTGTGAAGAACTTTGTGCTGCTTTGAAGACGTGTGCAATTTAGGAATACTAGAGCTGGCTCTAAGGAAATCAGCAGACTAGTTGGGTAGCTTTTTGATTTTTGAACTTAACTCTTTACTACTTGTCAAGATTTCGGTAGGAAGGGCACTAAGAGGAGTTTGCAAAATTGTACCTGAACACAAAAATTCAGTACCTGTCTACTTGGCTGAAAAGCAAATGCAAACAACAGAAATAGTTTAAATCTGTGCTTTTCCCCACTTTAGCTCCTTGATGGGGGAAGAGAATTAGTGGAAATGAATGTTGAGAACTGTCCAGATAGGGAGAGAAAACCCAAGGCCCACTTGCTCTTATTACATTGAAGAAATTCTAAGATGCCTTTCTTAAAGTTGAGTATTTCCCCACAGCTAGATGGGCATGCCCCAGAGAAAGCATGGCAAAGGCAGAGAGTGTCCAGCCTCCAGAGTGTCCATCATAACCGTGTGTCAGTTTCAGGATCACTGGAGTTTGGCTCAACACCTCACTCTACACCTGCTATTCTTCTCTGGACACACTATTGGGTTTCTTCTTTGTCAGCAGTTTTGCTACACATGTATTTCTTTTAGATTCATACAAATCCTACATCACATGAAGAACCCTGAGTCCCCAATGTTTTACCTAATTTATACTATAAGTCATATGACACCCTTGGCAGAAAAGTCACCATCTTTCCTCCTTAATTCCTATTGAACATATTGTAGATTCACTTTTGCATTGACGTGTTCACTTCCATTTCACTTATAAAGTGATACAGTTGAAAATACATATAAAAATTATAAAGACATTTGGACCATGCATGGTTCGAGGTTTGACCTTGCATGGTCGAGGTTCATAGTTGTAATGTAAATGTCAGACATTTAGTGCTCTATGTGACAGAGACAACTGGATAAAGTTCAGTGAGGAAAATGCCCAACTGACATACTTAAAGAATAAAAATAAAACAGATTCAACATGAGAATATATATTTAGAAGAAAGTGTAAAACAAAAAAATTCCCAGGAATTATTGTGACTTGCATCCAGTTTGAACTATTTGTATTACAGAATAAAAATAAAAATAGAAATGTGTTTTGATCCTTCACCCAAGGATCTGGTAGCTTGTAGAAACATTATTTTCTATGAATGAGAAGAAATACAAAATAACACTTATAAATTACTTCTGTTTCACTTTATACAAATATGTCAAGCCCAGGTATTTGGTATTCTGCTAATATTTACCTGAAGTAGACATCCAGAATTGAACCTCCCTTGAGGCAGATGTGTCAAATGTAAAGTGTACAATTCATTTACATGTACTGTAGTGCCTTTTGTGTGCAAATGAATGGAATGCTAAGATACTTTCTAACTTCTCTGATTTTCATTTGAATGCTGTAGATAATACACATTTCACAGCCATTATAATCCCAGCCATTATCATCCAGGATTAGAATATGAATGTAAAGCGGGTTCCTGCTAGCAGTGTCTAATAGCCACAAGTGACAGAATACAAACCTTGGAACAGAATACTTACACCAGCTCAGGACCCTCACCAAATCTAAGAGTTTAATGGGACATGTTTGCTGTTTTATCATAGAGTGCTTAAATTTTCTTTTTAAAAAAAAATTTTTAATGTTTATTTATTTTTGAGAGAGAGAGAGTGCATGTAGGGGAGGGGCAGAGAGAGAGGGAGACACAGAATTCGAAGCAGGGTCCAGGCTCTGAGCTGTCAGCACAGAGCCTGATGCGGGGCTCGAACTCATGAACTGGGAGATCACGACCTGAGCTGAAGTTGGCTGCTTAACTGACTGAGTCACCCAGGCGCCCCTAGAGTGCTTAAATTTTCAATGGTCAATTATTTTGGGGTCATTGTCTCCCATAAAACATGTCTGTGGTGTTCAAGATCAAATGGAGGGTAAAAAAATGGACTAGGAGAAACAGTCCAGGTGACAACAGTGGCAGACCCTCAACTATATTTGATCATGTGAAGCATGAATGCAGCTGTAGAAATGCCCAAGAATGCACAAGAAGAGGCAGTAAAATAACTGTCTTATTTCCTAGTTCAGCACAAACTAAAAAATACAAGGTTCACTGGGGACAAGAAATATGAATTGGGAAAATAACAATTCTTGAAGTGAAATTTTCTCATACATTATTTATAACATTTTGAAGAGCAATTTGATAATAATTCATTGATTAAAACAGGAAAGGAACTCATGATTTTATTATTCTCCTGGAAGATTAATGCAATTATGGGTAATATCTTATTCTCACTTACTGTAAATAAAAGAGATTTTGTGAAAACCAATTTAGGCTAAGCAGTTAGAGTTCTGAGATGTTTGTTTCCTGCCTTAATTAAAAAAAAAAACAATATATATTAAGAAGACTCCTTAAAGGGCACATGCTATTGAATCAAGAGTGAACGATTAGAAAGGAAGGCGGGACACAGTCGTTAGTTAAGGTTCAGAAGCTGAGAATAGGGTTGACAGTGCATGGGGGAGTCTCTGAAGGCTTCTGTGCAAGAGGGCAACACAGTTTATCTATAAAATTCCTTCTAGTTCTAAAGCACTATAATTTTATTACTTCATGGTTGTAAACTGCTTGAGTTAAAGATCCTTAAGAAAAATAATATTTATTGGTTGCCTAGCCTGCCATTGTGCTAGATGGTTTCACAGTCATTATCTCACTGGTTCTTTATCTGAAAGAGAGAGAAACAATATTACCCTACTTTATAGATAAAGAAGCTGAAGCTCAGAGTATTAAGTGACTTATTCACTCTCACAAAGGCAGAATTTGAACAAAGGTCTTTCTGGCTCCAAAATATACTGTCCTCTATCCCTCCCCCCCCCCCCCCCCACCTTTCTTAGACTTACTTCTGGAAAATGTCCATGGGTCCTTTGTTGCTTAAAGTTATCACATTATGGGACATGCTTAGCATTTCTGTGCTGGGTCCTTTTGCTCTGGTACAAAAAGCAGGAGGTGGAGAGAACAATGGTGCTCTTTGGAAGTTAGAGGAAGTGAGTGAAAACAGGTTAGGATAGTCCTGTAGCACCTTCCAGAGACCCAAGGCAGAAGAAAGAAAGATTGGGGCATGGGGAAGAACAGCCCAGGGCAGTGTGGTTCATGTGGTCAGTCAAGGGGGATGTGGAGACCTGGCCATGTGACCTACAGTCATGGGGACTGCTATCCCTTGGTTTTCTCATTCATAAAATGGGGAAAATAAAGGTTGCCCTCCTCTCTTTGGAGTGCCATGAAGGGCAGAGAAAGGTATCTAGGACACAGAAAAAAAAAAACACTGTAGATTATAGAGTGCTATATGAGTGACAATTTAAATTATTTTCCATGTTTGAAATGTAGAAGTTTTATTTCTCTTTTTCTGAATGTCCCTCTCCATGGGGTCGCACCATGAAAATTGAGTTATCTTAGTTCATGGAACTATTAGAAGTTGATTTAGAAAAAAATCACTAATAAGAGCTATAAAGCACTCTGACTCTCTCTCTCTCTCTCTCTCTCTCCCTCTCCCCTTTTTGTTTTTTATATTTGAAAGACACTTCTTATTAATAATGGATTGCTGTTGTATTAATCCAGATTTGCTCACAAAGAGCTAAAGTACTTTATATGTAATATCTTCTACATCATCAAGAGAAGGCTAGGCTTTTCCTTGGAACTAAAGGAAATTTCTTCTTCTGTAATCCTTTTTCTCTTCTTGCCCAGCTTAAATGCAATTATAGGAAAACATTTTATAGCTGCTGGCTGCTTCACTTTGGCTGCACAATGAGGGGTTATGAAATGGGATGAAATGGCTCTGCACAGAGTGCATAAGTAATAAGTCAGTCTCCTGATCCCTCCTCGTTCCACCAGTAATGCCAAGAAAGTGGCTTGTGCAGAGGAATAACTGTAACTACAAAACCACATAAGAAAGTCTTGCTGGGACGCCTGGGTGGCTCAGTTGGTTAAGTGGCCGACTTTGGCTCAGGTCATGATCTCATGGTCTGTGAGTTCAAGCCCTGTGTTGGGCTCTGTGCTGACAGCTCAGAGCCTGGAGCCTGCTTTGGATTCTGTGTCTCCCACTTTCTCTGCCCCTCCCCTGCTCATGCTCTGTCTCTCTCTGTCTCTCAAAAATAAGTAAATGTGAAAAAAAAAAAAAGAAAGTCTTGCCATCACAGGGACTCTTCTTCTAAGTCCTGGTGTAGACTGTCCAGAGTAGACAAAAAATTAGGTGACCTTTTGCTTCTTTCCTGTAACTCATCGAGTTGTAGGTGTGGAAATACCATTGTTCACTTTTAGCAGATTATTAGGAGCTTTGTCCTGATTTTCCACCTTCCCAAATCGTGGGAAGAATTATTAATTAGCAGGCACTGTATTTCTTACCTAGCACATCTTCAGTTCCCTCCTTTCCTACCTCCCTTCCTTTTTCCTTCCACCCTTCCATCTCCTCCTTCCCTTCCTCTTTCCTGCCCTTCCTCAGTTCCTCTCTCCA